TCAATCCATTGTCTACACCTACATTTTTACAGTGCCACCAAGTGGCTGAGGTTTGCACTGATGCTTTTGGATTTTAATGTGTAGATCAGTGGTTCGCAACCTTTTTTGTATCGGGTCCCATTTGTAAACAATAGCCAGTCCCAACCCAGTGCCCCTCACTCCCAATCTGCTGCCCCCAGGTCCCAACCTCCCAGCATGTGGGGTATGGGGGGGTGTATGTGGGGCATGGGGACCCCCAAGCAGCTCCTCAGGCAGGAACTCTGCCAGCCTGCAAGAGAAAAGCCGAATTTCCCCACATTTTTCTCCTTTAAAGGAGAATCCATGTTTAAAATTTGTCTGTGACCCTTTCGTATATTCTTGCGACCCACTTTTGGGTCATGACCCACAAGTTGGGAAACGCTACTGTAGACTGTCTTTCTTTTGTCCAGATACTCTTTTCATGTATACAAACCATGTCGAGTACAAACCATGAACAATTAGTTTCTCCAGCATATAGCTGCAGAAATTAAGAAATGGGAGATGATATATAGGAGGGACATGAGAACAGGAATGCAGGACAGATGATAGGCGATGGGTAGGGTTTTTCCAATGAGTTTGGCAAAATTTAGGCCTCTACTGAGCACTTCTGAAAATCCTTTTATAAAAAGATATGCCCTATTTACTTACAAGTTCAAGCACAGCTCTGTAGTCTTGGCCTTATTCTATACAAAATGGCAAAAATCATAGTTTACAGATTATTTTCTCAGTTGTTGCTGGTGCTTATTTCTGTTAGCATCTATAAACCCTTGTCCTAGACTGAAACTTCACTGAACACACACAAAAAATGAACATTTTCATTTCGGAAAGTTTACAATCGATGTGCAACACAAGGGACAATTGATGAATACCCGCCTTACCCAAGACAGCAACGAGATGCTGCGGGTCAGCTGCCAGGCAGTGGTTCAACACACTATCGGCATAACTCTGATCCTGGTTTTGCGGACGTTGGAAATAGGGGATGGTAAGGAAGGAAAATGCCTTTGTTTTGCAGAGATCTCCTAAGCGTGAGGCAGCACCCGGGTCCTTGCTGGAGAACTGAACAAGCGGGCGATGGAAGTGGGTAACAGTGCGATTGAAGGCTTGTGGCAGCATCGAGCCATTGTGGGACTCCTGTGCCTCTCTCTGCCCTTTCAACCCCTGCCTGCCTGGGGTAATTGCAAGAGTGGGAGGAAGCTGCCTTCAATTATGGCAGCCCCACGCCGCTGCTTCGAGAGGGCCCATGATCTGGGAGGCACAGGGGGATTTTAAGGTTTTGTGAGGCCGGTCCCCTTCCTCCCCTTGTTCCCTGGCACTTGGGAGTGGGATGCTGGCCTCCGACTGAAACCGTAGGTACTGCAGTTCACGTACCAAGTGACAACGCTCCTTATACCCATTTTACAGGTGGCGCAGAACGGGTCCTCACGCTTTGTGAGGCCAGTCCCCTTCCTACCCTTGTTCTGGGGCACCTGGGAGGTGCCTCGCTCAGGGGGGCGCTGAACCCCGACTGACACCCTGGGTACAGATTACAAATGGCAAGACTCCTTATGCCCATTTCACAGACGGGAACCGAGTGACAGAGGAAGTGGCCCAACCCAAGGGCGGACAGCCGCCCCCAGGAGGGGTCACAGTAAGACACCCTCCACCCCGCCCCCCGGCGGCATCCGCGCTGCACTCAGGGCGAGGACCAGGGAGCCCGCGGCCGACCAATCACAGCGCTGCCCCCGCTGTCGTCATGCGCCCGCGGTTCCGTTACGGAGGCGGCAGGCGGCCAATGAGAGCGCGGGGAGGCTCCTCGTCGGGAGTCGATAGGAAGGGCGGGGAGGGCTGGGCGCCCAATGAGCAGGCCCGACCGGCTCTCCGCGGGCCAATGAGCGGCCGCGGAGCCGGGTTGGCTCGGCCAATGAGCGGTTTCGGGGGAGATTTGAAAGCGAGGCGGAGCCGGTGGCTGTGGGTTTCCTGGGGGCTTCGGCTGCTGCGGGTGAGTGCGGGGCGGGCGCGGGTTCGGGGGGTGAAGGGAGGGAG